GTGTGGTGGGTCCCGCCTGCCCCTCCGTGCACTGGGACCATCTCCCCGGACCACGGCCAGCTGGATGCAGTGGAAGGTGGACCAGACTGGGCTAACCTGCAGGACAGGTGTTTCTCAGCTCTGAGATCCTGACGGGGTGGGAAACTGGAGGTGTGCTCTCTCTCACTCTGTCCCTCTCTGGTCAAATTTTTAAAAATAAATGTTTAATAAATAGATAAATAAAAGTTAAATAGAATAATTCTTTAAAAATAAAAGGTTTCTGAGTATCTCTAACTTCTTTATAATTTTGCTAATTTTTTTAAGAGCTTGGTTTTGTTTTCCAACCAAATAAGCCAACCCAGAAGAAGACACCCAGAGGCTTACTGACGTTTAACGTAGGTGACTACGTTTGCACGTGCTGAGCGAAGTCATGGCCGAGATGAGGCACAAGCGCAAACTCACCAGGGTGACCATCAAAAACTGTAGGGCAGTGTTTCCTCGGCCAGACCCGAGGGCGTGAGAACACTCCCGGAGTCTAAGAAGTCAGGGGACACTGGAGCTGCAGACACAGCTCTCAGCAGACCCGCGTGACAGGCCCTCGCCTGCACCGTCAGCGCTGTGAGGGACTTGCCAGGACCCTGAAGCCCAAGTCCCCAAGCCTTGCCCACCTCGTCAGACTTGAACGCCATCCTTGGACAGGAAGGCAGAGCCGCTGTCTTCAAGGTGGAAACCTGCACTGCGGGTTTAACCGCCAGGCTGTTCTGCACGTGGCAGCGACCTCCACACCCGGCCCAAGGGACACAGACTCGCGCTTTTACGTAGTAAAAACACGCTCCAGTTTCACGTCGAGTCACAAGGCCAAGCTCATGCCCGAGTCGAGCACAGTACCAGGGCGAGGGCGTGAAGTGTCTCTGTGTGTTTAACCAGACCATGTTTCTACCATCGAAAGTAGCTTGCTTCTGCCTATAAACCGTCCTCTGATGTTCCACAGTAAAGGGACATACCTGCAAGGTGTGAGCTGGTCTCCATCTATACCACTTTAAGACAATGGGCTCTTTGTTATGCTGACCTAGGGTTTAGGTAGAGTGAGAGAGGAGGGAGGGAGAGGAAAGCAGCTCCCCTCTGCCTGCCAAGGCCTGGCCAGCCGCGAACCTTCTCCGGGGCCCACAGCTCTTCAGGAGCCCGGGCATATGTGTCTGCATTGGCCTGCAGTGTTCAGGTCGGGCAGGCAGGACTTGGCCCAGGGCTGCCATGTGGCCTCCACGGCTGTGTCCGCATGCTCCCCACTGCCCCAGGGGTTGGCCAGGAAGAAGACCAGTAAGCCACTTTAAAAGGTGTTTTTTCTTCTTTTTTTAATTTAGCAGAGGGCGCTGTGCTTGCCAGAGAAAGACAGCACCCCCAGTGGGGTGCGGTCACACCGCAATCATTCTCCACTCCTCGGTCCTGCCAGGGTCTGGGCACGCATGTGGCCCATGTGTTTTACAAGCTGCTGGGGCTGGGATTATGAACCACATTGTCATATCCAGTTCCCTTGGCTGCGAGGACATGGGGCCAACCCTTTATTATATTTTTAGTTAACAATCTTAAAGTGGTAATTCTCTTCCAAATTTCAAAAATTCGAATTCTTTGCTCCTTTAATTCCCTATGAGCCTTGATTGCATCGTGAAGGGCGGTTCAGGGCTGGATGACAGTCCCTGGTTTCTGACAAGCTCCATTCCAAATGAGACACGGACCCAGCACCGGAGCTCACGGCAGCTCAGTCACGGGGCGTCCCCGAGGGCCGCTCGGCAGCCGGACAGCACACACGCACTGACCGCGGCGGCTCTCCTTGACTCCACTCCGATTTACTACGCCTAGTCCTCTGTGTTTCCATATACGGTATTGTATGCACCCGCTCGCGACATCAGCAAACCCATCCTTAAACTGGAAGCTCCTCCGGGAAGGGACAGGGCCTCACTTAGCAAGTACATCTAGAGTGGCTCTTGACTTGCAGGGGTCCTCACCAGCTGTTTGCAGAATGACTAACAAAGGACTGGATTTTTTGACACTGTCCTTCTGCTGGGCACAGAATTTCTGTGGTCTTGTTCCCTGATGCCCTGGGGATCAGTACATGCTCACAGATAGTAACTGAGCCCAGAAAGCTAAATGGATGAATATGAAGTCCTCAGGGGGTCACACAGCTTGGGAAACTCCTTCAACCCGGAAGAAGGGCTAGTATGGATCCCATTTACAGTACCCTAAGAGCTGCTCCAAAGTATGGAGATGGTCAAAGACACCTGATTTCAACAGTGAATGTCCTGGGAACTTCAAAAACTTCATGGG